TCACATCATAAAGGTCAAGGTAGCTCTGTGACATGACAGCTTAAATGACCTCAGCAAAAAAGCAAACACGCGAAGTCTGCTAGTAAAGCTAACTCGGGCATGTAACTTGACCATTAACTTTTATTCTTGCAAAATGAGTAGATCAATAGCACTTCACCTATATGAATGCAAAGAATTCATATTATCAGGATAAAAAATAATAATAGCGAAATAGCAGCACTTATTTGTGAAATGGGTGAATTATCAGCAGAAATGTTAGCGTTTTGCTGGAGAAAAGGCCTAGATGCCAGGAGCAAGAGGTTGCACACAGAACTGTTCAGCACTGCTAGGTTTCGAGTGCCTGCAAAAGTGCTTGTACACAATAAAAAAAAAGTGTCCAGTGCTCAGCTCTGTTTGGGGGAGAGGAGGAAGGAGAAGTTAAAACTAAACACCTTTGCTAAAGAATATGTGGATAAAAAAGTTGGAATGCCTTGAAAGGTTACATTGATGAGCTGGAACTGCTCAGACTGTAACGTTTCCCAATAGGTCTATTTTCCCAAAAAAGCTTCTGAACATTACTTGCCATTACTACAATTCTCTGTGTCTATCCATTGGGTTTTCCAAACAAGAAGGAAATTATTAAGAATAAAACATGACCCAATTATTCACAGTGCTTTTCCATCTTATTATTAGTCAGATGCTGAGCCATTTCATATGTATAAAGAGAGTAATTCTCTAGTTCTGCTGCATTTTTTTTAAGAAAAAGCATTCTATTCTGCACTGTTACATTTTAAATAGCTTGTACATGATTTGTCTTCAGTTCAATTTCAACTTCTTTTCCAGGCTTCTTGTATAAGCAAACATTTTAGCAATGTTTTCAAATTGCAAATTATATATATTCTGTTTTCCTATGCCCTTGAACTTCAAACCACACAGGTGAAACTTCCTCATATCGATAATAAAAAACACTTTGGGCAAAGCCTAACTGTGAAAAGCTCAGATCCACAGGAATTTTTTTTTACGAAACATCTGCAAGTGAATGAAAACTGAAGACTGTGAAGGAATTTGGGGTTGCGCTTTTCACCAAAGCATA